TAAAAAAAAAAATCGTTTCGTATTGATAAGGAGACGTGCTAATTAGTTTTTGGCGTGCCAAAAACTGTAACTCAGTTTTTAAGAAAACGGAGCGTCCGACTTTAATAATTCAAAAAACATTTTAATTGTATTGACAAGATAAAGACTGATTAAATTTTTGGGAAGGCACGTTCAGCGGTTATAGACTCGCAATAAAAATAAGTTAAAAAAATGTCATTTGGCGGTCAAAAATGTTTATCGGACATATGTACATCAAATTATCAAATATTTTATAGAGATTTTAATAATGTGTACACATTTTGTGTAATTTTTTTTTTGAGTTCCGTACCAAGATTTTTAATTACGATACGGGAAGTTCCAGTAATTTGCCTTAAGGCACGATGCCATGCACCTCACTAGTTTGAAAAAAGATCTCTCTTTATTTATTATTAATAAATGTTCTAGTATTATCAACATAATAAAATAAATCATCTAATAATTTTTAAAAGTATATCATGTCAGAAGGCTCAGCTTGTGATGCCTATATTTCCGTTTCAATGATGCGGGTATTAATGGAAACAATTACATGGATAATAAAATATAATCTTGCAAAGCTTACCTGAACTGAAAGATTATAAAACCGCACTTGCGTTCAAACTATAAAATTACCTACCCTATTCTATATAAATAAGAAGCACAAAATAGCCACAAACGTTGAATATTATTTGATCAATTTATATGATGTATTTCATTCCCTAATAAGCAATATATAGCGAAGCGAACAGATTCGATCAGGAACTACATTTATTGAAAAGGAAATTGAAGATATGTTCTGATTATAGTAGAAGAAGAATGGGATAACTCGTTTTTGTTCAAGGAAGTTATTGCTAATAATAAGTAAAATTCTGGAAAAAGATATTTGAGGTGGAATAATTTTATTTATTGACGATTCAAATATATTAGTCAAATAAAGTAACGGAATGTTTTATACTTAAGCTTGCAATATTATATATCTGCCATCCCGGTGAATAAGTGGTTGAGTCGAATTTAAGCAAAAAAAAAAAAAATTATTGGTTAGGAACAAAAGTTAATGAAGCACTTTATATAAAATTTAAACCATTAATTTCAAATACTTGATATTACACGAGTAATGAAACGAGTAATGAAATCAAGCCTTGCAAAGTAGTGAAAATTGAAATAACCGCTTATTCACTGGGATGACAGACATAAAGTTTGATAAAAATATAGGATTAACTCTTTATTATAATGTGAATACTTAACTCATCGCATAATGGAATGATAAAAATAAATATTAAAAAAAACCGATGGTTATAAGTGTGTGCTCTTATACATAAATTTTAGAGTTTAGATCAGGTTGAATGCAATCATTTTTTATTTAAAAACTTCGTTGCTAAACTACGTGCAAACTGCAGTGCAAGAAAATCTATCCGCACAAAGTGTTAAGCTTTATAATTAAAAAAGCCAAACTATTCAAATGTAACATACAATATATTTTTCCAAGTTGAAATTGTGGTCTCTATATAATATAGTCTCCAAAAAGAACACGTAAATTGAACATCAGTAAAAGTTTATTAACACGTAGGTTTTGAAATATTTAAATTTATTTTTTATAACGATTTATACAAATTAAATATTTGAATATTTCAATATTTAATCAGAAAATTTACACCTTGCACGAGCTTGTTATCGAATCTTTTATTTCCCTGCTGACATCAGTAAGTCAGCGAAGTGATAAGATATATTAGAATTATTATTAGATCGCACTACATTGTATCAACATTTGGCCGAGCCTTCCCTGAATGAATCTGTTTTATTTATAGGATCTCCATTAGGAAATGACAGATGTATACAATACGAAAAGAAAAACGTTAGACAAATCCTGTGAGCAAAAGGCCATTAACCTTATGACATAATGAATGTATTTTGTGTACATGTGAACTGCAGATTTTTCAGAAGTCTTTTTTTATTACAAACACTAAACCAAATATATCGACAAATATATTCCATTGGCTAAATGCCAGCGTCTTAACTACGTGCATAGTTTATGAAAGCCTGGCACATACTTGCTTCTTTGAACAAATGTTGGAGTAAAAAATACGAAGTTCTATGTTTAGTCTGACTCAGAAGGATCGTAAAGAGAAGAGAATATTATTTTTTATGATCTGTTATTACCAAATTTGAAACTTTTTGTGAACGCACGAGTTATTACAACATATTAAATTGTTTAGCATTTATCATTGAAAGCAACTATATACAAACCAACTGATAGAATTTTGATATGAGTGTTTTTAAACTCTTTCGAAAAAGCAGCTTTCGAAATACCGAAAGAAGGCACAAAAAGCAAATAAATAGTGCAAGAAAATTTTTAATTATTAACTAATATTAATATAAAATATTAAAGTAAAAAAATATTATATCGAATTGATTTGTTCGTATTTTCTACAGCCAAGACTTCCAAATCATAAAAAAGAAATATAAATGTATTTCATTAAAAAAAGCTCTTTAATCGTTTGTACTACAAGTAGGCTCAGATTTAATTGTTTTCTGCCATAAAGCATACCAGTATTGTAGTAAATGTGCATCATTATAAAAATTGAGATTCGAGTGAAATAGTCGAGGTCGTAGTATAAAATAGTTTAGTTTGATTCTTGATTTATGATCTTGATATTTGGCAGTTTCCTTAATTGATGAGTTTCATCCTCCATTAACAAACCGCGGAACGTTCTTCGTCAACCTATGCTTCCCAGAATGTATGGACACATAAAGAATTCAAATATAAACTTGCAATGATATGTATGTATGAATTTTTGCACGAGTAAAATGACAATACATAACAGCGAATAAAGGTGACTACAAAAACACGAATAATAAATTCTCAAACCGCACTTGCAATTAGCATTCTGTAATGGGATTGTAAAATATATTTGTAATAAAAACATTGAATATTTATTTGGCAATTTAATTTTTCAAATTAACACGCACGCAGGCCGCCATCTTAATTACATCTGCGGAAACACACGCATCGCATATCGCGAAAAACAGAGAACAATTTGCGAATGGGCGGACAATTTGTGTAATATTTCCTGTTAATTATTCTTTTTGAACCCTTAACCATATACTAATCGTCAAGAATTGCGTGCGAATACGCATCGCTGCACGTTGTGGTTTATTTCACTTTTTTGTTCTGAGCATGTCGAATGGAAAATGATCCAGATAATATTTTGAAGGGCCCTCGATGCTAATGAGGATATTGCAGTTTATAATGCGGGGTTTTCCAAAACCCTCGAGGTAAGGGGTTGACCATGCGATAATGGATTCAGATTAGTTGCAATAACAGATCTAAAAAGGGCGATTTCTTTCTCCTTATCTTCAACCGCAAGGAATGAGTTTTTTCTATGACAATAATCTTAGCTTTCGAACATCACGCAACATTAATAAACGCGTAAATTATCAACGATTTCCAACGTAATGTAGAATAGATTCACGTCATAATTTCTGCGTTTGCGGTTTCACGCTGTGCCTCGAAATTTTCCGTAATTGTACAATAAATATGTTGTAAAATCTTGATACATTCCTTTATATTCAGTGAGCATCGAAAAAACTTTTGTAACTTGTTACATTATTGCGTATTGTAACGAATTATGGTTCTATTTAAATTTATCTTTATGACTTGAATCTCATTGTCAGTGTAGCGAAGAAACTAGAATTGCAAAATTTCTAAAAGAAAGAAAATTTATGAAAGTTTCTGAAGATATAGTTTAATTATAAACAAGTGTGGTGTATGGCATCGTGCCTTAAGGCAAATTGCTGGAACTTCCGGTATGTTCGAAGAATTTTGAATGTATTCAAATACATTATTATAAATAAATATTGTAACATTGTCTAATATTTATAAGAATTATATAAACTGAATTGCAAAGTTGAAATTACTTGTTTAAAGTATATTAGAACTATAGTCAAATATAAAAATAAAATCTGAATTATTTTCGATATACAAAAAAAATGTTATTTTGAAAAAAAAAAAAAAAAGTTGAAACAATTTTTTTTCCCAAAATCAATTATTTTGTTAAGACAAGCAGAAAATTCTTTGAATCATTTAAATCGGATGCTTAGTTCTCTCAAAAATTGCCATTTTTTAGACATTTAGCTCCGTATCTTCAAAATGGCTGGGCCTGTCTTTGCCAAAAACTAATAAACACTTCTCCCAATCATTACTAATTGAATGTTTTTTAGATCATTCAAATCAGATGCTCCGTTCTCTCAAAAACTCTTTCTATTTTCTGCACTTTTTGCTCTTTATCTCCGGAACTGCTGGACCTGCCTTTGCCAAAAACTAATCAGCACATCTCCCTATCAATAGGAATCGAATGTTTTTTGAACCATTCAAATCGGTTGATCCGTGCGCTCGAAAACGTGACTGGAAATTTGTATCCATACATACATACACACACACATCTATTTTTTCTGAGGTATGCCAAAATGTTCAAAAACCTTCAAAACGTCGAGAAATGTAAAAAATTTCAATTTCGATTTTCGGCCCATTACAATAACTTACCCTACGGGAAGTTAAAAATATATACGAAAACAAAAATTTATATTGTCCATTAATCACATAATGCATAAAAGGGGGGAGTGCTCAAAGTCGACCTAATAAATTCAAAGTTAAACGAAAAGTCTTAATTCTCAAAAACTTGAGGCAATCATGTCATTATTTTTGACACTGGTCCTAGAAATATTACTTACGATTACGGATCAAAAGCTTAATACAAACAAAATTAATTGTCACATTTTCACCAAAGCTCTATGTTGCACTTAAAAGCTCAAACTACGTGAGAATTTGTTTTGTAACTTTTTTCATGATATCAATAAATATTATCGCAACGTTACGGCTTAAAGTTGAGTTCTGGTTCAAATCAAATTTACACTTTTGTAAAACTTAATCTATTACCCTATCTTTTAATTTCAGCATATAAAATAATATTGTGTTTTATTAGACTCACCATAGAAGATACAGGAATCGGCCCGCTCGCGCCGTTGTGGTAACTGTAGGGAGACACCAAGTAGCCCATGTTGAAGCTGGAAGAAGGATGCGTCGACGGCTCGACTTTGCCTGCAAATTGCACAAGAAGATTAGATTGAAAATCGAAATAACACAATTGATATACACACGTCTACGTAATTTCTATTCTAATTTATGCTGGGAATAGATGCAATTCGATCGACAGCTGCATGCACATGGACAGCTTAAAATATTTTAATAAATATTGTAAGAATTTGCATGCAAATTTATTTAGTTGAAATTTAGAAAATACGAGTAAAAGCTCTTATGAATACTTTCTCGAATGCGCCGTGATTGTAATAACAATCTTATGTTTTATTGTTGGAATCTTTTTCAAACTTTGCAATTTTAACTGATTGCGTTCTTTAACCCATTCCCTACGGCAGCATTTTCTGTATAAGTTCCGCCCAAGTATTTGTTATACAACATATTTTAAATCCAATCATTATCAATAATAATATATTTAGAAATTAAAAATTTCACTTCTAAAAATCTATATTTTACAATAAATAAATTATGATTCTTGATAATTTAACTCAAAGTGATAAATCTTGAAGCAAAAGTGGACGCACAGGATGTCGTCTATGAACGACGCTCGTTGCAAAAGGATAAATCGGTAAATTTACTAAAGCTTGCTGATTTTGTTATCTAAGTTCAAATTATATTATTAATATTCAAATTATAATGGTGCAATGATGATCTTCCAAAATAATATTTTTTTTAAAAATGGTGCGTATTTTGTCCACTTAATGTATATACTAATTAATTTATTGGTAAAATTTAGTAGTTTGATCTACAGGAGAAAGCAAAATAAGCTTGATTTGAAAGTTGGATAAAATATTATTGTTTTAGTTATAAAGCAACATATATATTTCTAAAAAATATTCTAAAATTCAAGAAATAATATATAAGCATAATACAAGACTATAAAAAAATATTTTTATTCTTAATGTAAGAGTCTTTTCATTAATCACGGGAGATTTTTAAGGGGAGGGTGGATTTGACAAAAAATCACGAAATATCACGTGGGAAAGGGAGAGGTATTGTAAAATATCACGTGTATTTATTTTTTACCTGATTTTTAAAAAAATCCAAACAGTTGCAAAAAAATAAAAAAAAAAATTTTTTTTCGTAAATAAAAGTACACGTGATGTTTGGCGGGAGAGAGGGGATAATTTTGAATATCGCTAAGTATCACCAAGGGAGGTCCAAAATCCTTAAAAAATCGATCACGTGGTTAATGGACGCCACCTAAATACTTTAATTCTTAATGTGTTGGATTAACGGATGCCCTACAATGTTTTAATACGTTGAATTAAAAGAAAAGTTTGTCTGCTTCTCAAAATTATTGTTTTGGTGAAGCCGAAAAACAATAATACAAGCATAAAAAATTATTTCCTATGGGCATGGAAAAAGTACGAAATATTTCAGTTATCAAAAGCGACTTTCTAAGTACAGAAAATGTAATCTAATGCGTTAGGCTCTCACAGAACGAAATAAAAAATCGCCTTAAGTTGATCATTTGAATTCCGTTCCTAGAAGTATCACTGATATGTATTCATGTGTAGACATATTACTGACAAGGAATCGCGATTATTCCTCTTGTCTCGTCCGCGAGGCCCTGTGGGAAAATCATAAAGCGAACATCGACGCCGGCGCACAAATAGAAACTCTATGGACTATCATCTGAAGACGGATCATTCCACCCGTTCATTCATACCAAATATTCTGAAACTCGATAGCAATTAGCATATCTAATTGATAAGTAACTAGATTTAGTAACTTCTTTTCGCATGTCGTCATATTATAGATAACATATTTGTTATCGACGAAACGGCGCTCAAAAATAGGATTGTAGTTATGAGTTTAAATACCTTCTTCATTTCATTTTTTTCAGTTCCATACTACTCGATATAAGACAATGTATCCCGAAGAAGTCGCTAAATTCTAGACAACAGCTTTATAATAGTTCTTATTTTTTATTAATACTCGTTTATAATTAGTAAGTGTAGAGCGTGGCACAAAGGTCCAATTGACTTGTAGCAATTGTAGAAAACCAAACCAATTATAACACAACAAATAACACATCGAACAAACAACTATCTGAATATGTTTTGTAAAACTCAGTCATCACTCAGAATTTTTTTTCACCTGGTCCTTTTTACCCCATAGGCGGAGTAAAATGGAAGGGCCAGGGCGCAAACAGATTCAATGTCTATTTAACGACTGAAAAATAAAATTTTTATGGTCACATTTTTTAAAAAATTACACCGTGTATAAACTTGATCTGGTATTTCGTCAGAGCTATTCATCAGGAAAGTTGAGATAACCAATAATTTAACGTAAAATTGTTTTCTTTAACTAAATTTACTTTTTTATTTACTATTTTTTATTGTTTACACCTTTGCCAGGATATTTTCGTGGGGCTTTTCTCTACCCCACGTGAAGGTTTCTATAGAGGTTATATAAAATAAACTACCGAATCTGACTTGAATAACGTGTATTTAGAAAATGTATAAAGGTCACGTAAACTAAACAACAGTGCTCACAACCAAAAAAACTAACAACAAAAAAAATACTGTTGGTATGGATTTTTAAACATGGACGTTTATGTCTAGTTAGCAACGTCGTAAGAATCAAGGTAATGGCTGGTTACACATGTTTTTCTCTCTACTTTCAAATATTGTTGTTAGAAAATTCTTAACTTCACTTGTTTTTCGGTGTTGGGCTTTTTTACCCGAGGACTTTTAAGCTCTGCTCTACCCTATATAAACAAATCATTATATTATATGACCCACGACATTTCTAAAATAATTTTGCAGACAAAAAAGTGCATTCTAATCCATAATCTTATAAATATCAGTAATACAATTTGTTCTAATACTTTCTGGTAAAATTTTACTTATAACTTTTTATTCTCGTTATCAACTCATATTTTACCAACAAAGTCATATCTTTATTTGTTGAAAGGCCAGGAAAGGCAGAATAGTGTTACATTGGTGCTAGATGGCTACGAATCATAATAATGAAAAAATCCTTTAAGCATAAATGAAATTCATGAGCTTTTATTCTAGATATTTTTACATCCTTGTGTTTTCAATTTACACAAAGTGTAATCCTTGTGTTTTCAAGTACTAGAGTACTAGATGCCCATTCCTGTTTCCACTGACACACTTTGGGAACCCACAAAGCCAAATCCTAATTTTATAATTAGTTGATGTTCTGAGAAGAAGAATACCACGTCTGTTGCAAGACGACACTTGTTACAAATGTTTTGTGTCTCAAACGGGGGATTCGTACACTGTGCCAAGCACAACAAACAGTATCTTATGGTAAATCTTCAAGATAATAGATTGTCCTGATTTGTGTCTCATGCTCAATTAGAACTAGATCATATATTTTACATTTAAAGATTCAGTAATTAGATTTTTACTATACAATTTTTATTATACAATCAACGTCGAGCCCTGTGAATAATACAGGAAACTGTAATTTGAGAAAATTCGTCCAAGTATTATATTATATACCATTATTATCATATAATAATGATAAGATCACTTAAATGAAGAAATTGAATTATCCGGTAGCAGTGAATAATTGTGAAAATTCAATTTCAAATATTTAATGATTTGTAAGGAAGTGATTTTTGAACTAAATTTTGAGGCTTATATAAAATTATATACAAAAGATTAATAATCAAATATAAAAGACCAAACATTAAACGACTAATAGAATTGTATTTTTGTAAATTATCTGGCTCTATATTGTAATAAAAATCAACACAAATAAACATCTAGTAGGTACTCCATAAAAAAAAGGAGTAAAACTAATTTGATAAAATGCACAATGATACAATTTAATTTTAGAAAGTAAACATTTGTAAATTATGAAAATTAAACGTTATTTGCTTATTTTCTGTATATAATAACAAAAAAAAGTTTAAGTTTGATAATCGCGAAAAAAATCCCTATAATTAATATTTATGACATCATGGTGATATAAACTATTATACATTATCGTACTGAATACTATAGCCAATTCCTTATCTAATCATTAGTTGATTGCTACAATAAATATTTTACAATTTTTAACAATTAAAACATGACCCTTACATATGCGTAGTATGTATCTACTAATTTTAACATTTCTCAGGCCGCAAACGTGCTTAATAACAATATCAAAATGTTAAAATAAAATAAAAAAAAAAATAAAGTCGCCAGACCATTTATAATAAAAGAAGTCTACAGTGTTTCCAGGAATACAAGAAAATTATGACCATATGAATGAACATGTGTTTGAATCTGCATAGTGCTTATTCAATTAGGTGTTATGATTTATATTGCTATAAAACACGCACGTAACGCAAGTATGTTCCAATATGGGTTTGCCTCAACATAGGATAGGGTCATTAGTTTAGTTTCGGGCTACTGTTGAATCGATCATTTAAATATATTTAAACCATATATCATTTATATTATCTAGTATAATAATTAGAATAATGAAATTGTTATAGCATGGCTAACTAGTAGCACATTTTACCATGAACGTTAAAGGCATGTTGTACTGAAGTAAGAATAGAACAATTACCGTCAAATATCACTTGCTTACTAATATTCACTTCATATCCGGTTCTATATCGGATATTATTTTACACAGTACATGTGGCAAAAGTTCGTAAATAACTACACGTGCAGAAGAAGCTGACAAGTTTTAAGATGTTAAGTTTTGTATTAAATTAATGCCATTTTTAATAAATCTTATAGCAGCTATTAGCGAGTTTCGCTTGTTGCAAACTAAAAATATGATTATAAATTTTTTATAAAAGCATGCTGTAGCTACCAAACAAAAAAGCTAAAGCTACCAAAACCATATGTGATAAAATGGGAAACATCCTGAATACCTTACTCTAATCTTTATCTCATAAAATCACAAAGAAAATCATTTCTTCAAATTTTATATCCCAACTTATATAAATCAAAGATAAGAAAAAAAAGAGTGCGCGTAAGGTTCACACGCGATTGAAGTAAAACTTATTTACAAGATAGCATTTA